AAAAAAAAAAAAAAAAAAAAAAAAATCATTGTGCAATAAGAAAAGTAAAACAAATATTATAAATAAAGCTGAAATAGTTCTCATGTCAATGTAAAACAATATAACATGAAAGGGAATAATGAAAACTTCCATTCAAAGGGCGGACAATAAAAAACAAACACCTACTACTAAAGGGAGAACATTGGGTTCGCATTGGTTTTTTTTTTCTCTCTTATATATGTCACTTCTCGACACGGTCACCATGGCCATGATCATCACCATCATCATTTGCTTCACTCCCTCCATCTTCATTTCCCTCGTCCTAAAATTAATCAAACCACCATAAGAAATTAAGAACACATATTTAATCAAACCACCATAAGCAACCTAGAATACCTACAATGGTACCAAACAATCTAAAACATTATTCAACTACTAAAAACATAATAAGAAAGTAAGCAAAAAAATGAGCAACACATTCCAGTAACACCACTTTCGCATAAATTCATATAAAGCATGGACAAAAACTCAATCCATATGAACTCATAAAAATTCACACAATTCCAGTAACGCAGTAACGACTTGCACCTCCACTTCTAGGCAAAACACACATACACACATGAAGAATAATAACAAATTCATATCATAAATAACAAATAAATAATGGGCAAAACACCTTTAACACTTTCATATTCAAGTTTAAACAACAAATTATAAAGAAACATGATTACAACACATGGTTTATGTCAAAAACAATATATAAGAAAAGATATCATGAAAGCATTGGTAATATAGACATTAGAAAAGAAAATATACAACAAAAGAAGAAATAGTTGACCTTTTCAAGAAAAAAACTTTCAAACCTAATATAATATACGCAACATGTATAAGTTCTTTTCATTACTAGTAAACATTCTAGCGCACATTACAAATACCTGAGGAAGTTCAGCATTGTTGATATCTCCAGACAATTGCTCCCTTATGAGATGTTTTGCTAATTCTTGAACGCTCAATGAATTCTCAACAGGGAGATGTTCAAAAACTTTTAAAACACCCGCTAATGTTTCTTTCACAATCGCATCTTTAAATGGCTTCAAAAATTCTTCAGGAATCAGAACATCCGACTTGGAAAGCCTCTTCACTCTCTTGCTACACCTACCGAGAAGTCCATTGCTAATAGAGTCGGAAAGTTCCTGCATATAGATAAAATGAAACTTGAATAAATCAAACAATCATAACAAACTATTTTTGGTAATGACAAGTGAATATAATACAACTTACATCATTTATTTCAGGCGTCTTGTACTTTCTACCAGAAGTTCTCTTATGTGTCTCCGTATACATCAATTCCAGAGAAGGTTGTTTCCCATCAACTTGTTTCTGTAACATATAAGAAAAAAAAAAGAAAAAAAAAAGAAAAAGAAACACAGAAATAAGTTTTCATTACTACAACACATTATATCTAAAATCAACACTTGCGTATTTGGCTATATGAATATATCTTACATTTTCGTCACTAATTCATCTTATTTTCTCTCATTTATAATAGGGTAAATTGCAGTTTTGATACCCAAACTAAAGTTAATTTCAGAATCAGTACCCGTTTTTTAACATTTGCAAAATCAGTACCCAAACTTTCATTATGTTAACAACATTAGTACCCGGTCGTTAGATCTCCGTTAAATTACCGTTAGTTGTTAACGGAAGTAGGCAAAATAGAAGGAAATTTGTATTTTTGTTATTGGAAAATTATTATTCCAATATATACTGCTTGAACTAGAAGAGAAACCATGTCTTCTCATTTTTCTCAATTTATTATATTTTTTTCAAAAATTAAATCGATTTTATCCAAAAAAAAATCTTATAAATAGTGGAGGTTGCATTTGTTTTGAAAAAAAATGGTACAAATGTCTTATGTATATAGATTTCATCATGAGCCATAAAAACAGATAAATTTCCTCCATTTTACCTACTTCCGTTAACAACTAACGGAAATTTAACGGAGATCTAACGGCCGGGTACTAACGTTGCTAACAGAATGAAAATTTGGGTATTGATTATGCAAATGTTAAAAAACGGGTACTGATTCCGAAATGAATTTTAGTTTGGGTATCAAAACTGCAATTTACCCTTTATAATATTAAATACAAAAATAGATCTCATAAAGAGTTCTGTAAACAATTAACATAAATGGTTATAATAGTTACCAACTCATGACGCTTTCTTGCAAACGCAACGGGGCCCATAGTGTGTCTATTTTTCTGACTTTGGGAGGCTGCTTTTCTCTTTTCAGATATCATCTACATATACAACTTACTTTAACATATAATTTCATTGAATCAAGCAATGCATTTCACTAGTAATCTTATAAAGAGTTGAAGGAAATGGACATCAACTGAATATTCATACAAAATTATAAACACACACACAAACAAACATTACGCGATAGAAGAACACATGTATTCTTAATGAGAAGTATACAGCTAATGAATTCAAAAGTTTCAACCCCTGTTTATATAAATAGGTAGAGATCCATAAAAAAATCATACATATAGAAGCAGACATAGTCATATTTGAAACCTAGATCCATCCGACTCAACTTGTGATATTCAACTTGTGATTGGGACACAAGATAAGATTGAATGAAGTAGAAATTTATCTACTGAGATCTGTTAGAAGTACTAATTGTAAGACTTTCATAAAGTGATTTTGCATCTTAGAAGGCTAAAACTGATATAAGGAGTAATGCATGATACACGAAATATCTGTTGCCTTTGACTAAGACAACACCACTAAACTATTGAGGAATTATACCTGTTATTCTTAACATTTTAATCACTAATGTGAAGCCTAACTATGTCCTAGTGGATTAATCCTCTAGCAAAGGTAAACTATTAAGCAGAATATTCTCTCTTTCATTTTTTTTTTAGTTTATTTTTAAGAGTAACTCTTTTCATGCTTGGGTTGGATAAGCTCCAAGAACTATAAGTAATAACTTTGTGTGAATTGGCCTTTAAACTTAACAGCTT